AAAAGAGATAGCAGGGAAAGGTTTACTCTGCCAGATAGAGGAGCAGAGTAAACCTTTCGGGGAGAAAATGTCTCTCTCCCAGGTGTCCGGGAGCCGCTATCTTATAGCAGGAGACTCCCGGAACGCCCGGGAGAGTTCAGATGTCTGAAACCGTCACATGACAATAAAACAAAAATGTATCAGTACTTGTATCTGTGAGTACTTGTATCTGTGAGTACTTGGACAAGTATCAGTACTTGTATCTGTGAGTACTTGGACAAGTATCAGTACTTGTATCTGTGAGTACTTGGACAAGTATCAGTACCTGTACTTAAAAAAATGGTATCGGTGCACCCTTACATATATTTATATAAAACAAATCATACATTAAAACAGGGATGCACAAATCCCACGAGCTCCGTATGCTCCTTACAAATGACAGCTGCCTCCTAACGTTTGAATTTTTCTCTAGTCTAGTCTTGGAGCTGGAAAAGTATCTGTACATATCTGAACATCACTAGTATACAGTAGTATATGAACAGACCGTACTATCCAGAGAATTCCAATACTTCAGACTTTATTGAAATTCACAGCAAATCCAGTATAACGGTGAATAAAAGTGTATAAAGCAACAAATGTCAGCACTGCACACCCCCAACCAGCTACAACCTCTATCTACCCTCTGTGCAGTGCTGGCATTTGTTGCTTTATACACTTTTATTCACTGTTATACTGGATTTGCTGTGAATTTCAATAAAGTCTGCAGTATTGGAATTCTCTGGATAGTGCGGTCTTTTCATATACTACTACATTCCAAGGTGGAGACACACTTATTGGACCAGCACCTGGGGAGTCCTGATGGTGGCTAAAGAATTGGAGCGGTGAGATTTCCTTTGGCTCTACATCACTAGTATACAGTTGTAGCAGCTAAGCCGGTTGCCGTTGAGACCTCTAGTACCTCCAGTCCAATTAGTAACCATCGGGGGTGTGGTCTGTAGGCTTAAGGCACCATGTTCTGTACCTATAGGCTCCCAAGATGCAAATTCAGTCCCAGAGGGGCACAGGTATGAAGTGACAAATTTTTGGCACACCAGCTTCTTTACAATGCATAGGTTACTCATACAGCTAGATCACTCACCTGGGCGTACAGACTGGACAAGGACAATCCGATCCCCACTAACGGTGAAGCCAAAGCCATTTTGATCCCTCTGTACAACCACACAGCGTTGAACCAAACCTGAGAAGATGAAAAGAAACATAACTGATATAAGCACGGTGCACAGATCTCCCAGTGATCACATGGGGGAGCCATTGTCCAATTTTAGCTCCATATTTTCATTCAATGGCCATACATCACTAACAGAAAGTCAAATTAATCATCAACTTAGCACTGCTTATTACCTAAATGTAATGCCTGGTTGAATTATCATATACAGTGGTGATATAAAAAAAAGTACACCCTCTTTGAATTCTATGGTTTTAAGTATCAGGACATAATAAAAAATCATCTGGTCATAAGCAGGTCTTAAAATTAGGTAAATCTCATATGTACAATAATAGATGACATATTACAGCGTGTCATTATTTATCTTACAAACGTAAAGCCAAAATGGAGAAGCCATGGGTGAAAAAATAAGTACACCTTACGATTCAGTAGCTTGTAGAACCACCATTAGCAGCAATAAATTGAACTAATTGTTTTCTGTATGATTTTATCAATCTTTTACATCGTTGTGGAGGAATTTCGGCCCACTCTTCTTAAAAAAAAATGCTTCAGTTCATTGAGGTTTGTAGGCATTTGTTTATGCACAGCTCTCTTAAAGGAGAACTATGAGGTGAGTGCTTTTCACTCACCTCATAGTTCTAGCCGACCTGTGACAAAGACTGTCACAGGTCGACTCAGTAGATCAGGAGGTGAGCGAACACATATCGGCATTCGCTCACGTCTCGATCCTGTCACGGCTCTCTGTCTGCCGTGAAAGGGGAGGGGCTGGATTCCACCCTCCCCGCTCCGATCCGCCAGCGCTGACTGGCGGAACGGACGGGGGAAAGGGCGAGATAGGCAGAGCTAGGCGGATCCCGGCACAATTGTCGGGATCGGCTTCAGCTGAGGCATCTCAGTATACCGCGAGCAGCAGCTCGCGGTATACATAGTTACATAGTTACATAGTATTTGAGGTTGAATAAAGACATTAGTCCATCAAGTCCAACCTATTAGGAAATATCCAGATATCTGCGGCGTCTCAGTATACCACGAGCTACAGCTCGCGGTATACTGAGCCTGGGGTGACGGGAGGATGCTAGTTTGTGTCCTCCCGTTACCCTAAGGAGAACTATGGGGAAAAGCCTTAACCCCATAGTTCTCCTTTAAGGTCTCACCACAGCATTTCGATTGGGTTGAGGTCTGGACTTTGATTGCGTCATTGCAACACCTTGATTCTTTTCGTTTTTAGCCATTCTGTTGTAGATTTGCTGGTGTACTTGTGATTATTGCCCTGTTGCATGACCCAATTTCAGCCAAGCTTTAGCTCTCGGACAGATGGCCTCACATCTGAATACTTTGGTATACAGAGGAGTTTATGGTCAACTCATTGAATGCAAGGTGCCTGGGTCCTGTGACTGCAAAACAAGCATAAATCATCACCCCTCTACCACTGTGCTTGACAGCTGGTACGAGGTGGTCTGTTTGGTTTTTGCCCAATGTGGTGCTGTGCATTATGGCCAAACATTGCACTTTGGTCTCGTCTGTCCAAAGGACATTGTCCCTGAAGTCTGGTGGTTTGTTCAGTGGCAACTTTGCAAACCTAAGCCATGCTGCCATGTTCTTCTTAGTGAGAAGAGGCTTTCTCCAGGCAAACCTTCCAAATAAACTATACTGGTTCAGTCTTTTTCTAATTGTACTGTCAGGAACTTTAACATTTAACATGGGTTTTCTGTCATTTCTCTGTGCATTGTACATCCTGAACTTGCTGCTGAATTTGCTGGGTAGTCCACTTCTGGGAAGATTGGCAGCGGTCTTGAATGTTTTTCACTTGTGAATAATAATTTTCACTGTAGAATGATGGATCTTACATTGTTTGCAAACGGCATTATAACCCTTCCCTGATTGATGGGCAGCAACAATTGCTTCTCTACGATCAATGCTGAGGTCTTCTCTCCTTGGCATTGTGTTAACACACACCTGAATGCTCCAGATCAGCAAACTGCTAAAACGTCAGCTGTTATAGAGGTGGTCACACTTGCTGATGATCAATTAATCAAGGGTATTTGCTTAGCAGCACCTGGCTGCTACGTAGCCTCTTATTCCTATGGAAGCAGTAGGGGTGTACTTAGTTTTTCACACATGGCTTCTCCATTTTGGCTTTATGTTTGTAAAATAACTAATCACACGGTTTAATATGTCATGTAGTGATGTTCATCTGAGGCTGTATTTATCTAATTTAAGACCTGCTAAGTACCAGATGATTTTTGTTTTGTCCTGATACGTAAAACCATAGAATTCAAGAAGGGTGCACTTTCTTTTTCACACGACTGTATATATACTTTTTAACTTCAGCCAATAAAATATACAGTATATGGCTAGAAACATGCTAAAAAGGCAAAATAACAAATAATCACCAGTGTAGCAAGTTGTAAACAAGTGGTTCTTGTTGATCACTTTAACCCCTTAGTGACCAAGGGATTTACATGTGTACGTTGCCAGCATCGGGCTGTTTAAACAGACTCTGTTTAAACTTGTAAAGCCGACTGTCGGCTTTACAACAGAAGCGATTCTGGCAACTTACCTGTCGCCAGAACGCTTCTGTGTCCCGTAGAAGGGGCCGCCCCCCCCCACCGGACACCGCCGCCGTGCTTCCCGGGCTCCGTTGCCTCTCCTACGGGCCCGGGACCGGCTTCCTTGGTGTCCGCGGGGAGCTGGGGAGGAGGTCGGCGAACTTCCGTTCATCGATCCCCTCCCCGTTCTATGGGACCGGGAGCGATGCAGATTGCATTACTTCCGGTCCCTCGGCTGTCAGTTCTGGGCTCCTGCAGCCCAGCTATAAGCTATTGAGGAATATAACAAGGGTGCAAAAAATGAAAAAATAGACCTCAGTCATGAAGGGGTTAAGGTACATGTGCATTTTGGAGCATGTGCTGAAGTGTACACATTCAGATGCACTAGAAACTTGCTCGGACTAGTCTGATTCTAACAATCATGGTCACACTTAAGGGTCCCCACACACCTTACGATTATCGTACGATTATCGCGGGAAATCCCGCGATCGTACGATTATCGTAAGGTGTGTGGAAGCCGTGCGACCTCTACTACTGTAAGGTCGCACGACTTTAAACTTACGGACATGTTAAAGTCTTGCCATGGTTGTAAGGTGTGTGCCCAGCCAAAGGATTGCAGAAACATGGCTTTGTATAAAAAAAAAAAAAAAATCTACCTCCCTTTGCCACCTTATTGTCAAGGAGCAGAGACAGACCACTAGGCCATGTTTGTGCATTTTGTAACGGCGTGGAGAAAAACAGCAATTGTAAGAAAATGAAATGAACAAAATGTAACTAAAATATAACTATACTAGAACAAAATTAACCCATTATCTCTTGATATATCCAGAGACACCATAAAACTTTGCAAATGAGAGAGAGGAGCTGCCTGCTTTTTGAAATTTGAGATCTCCAATGATTATATGAGTGCAGGGTAAAGGTGCCCATACACTTTACAACCCTCGCAAGACTTTTGTCTTGCGAGGGTTGTAAAGTACTTTAAAAAACGTACGATCTGCCCATCTTGGACAGGCAGATCGTACCTGCGATCATTGCAAGCCCGCCCCCCTGATGGGCATGCTTCCGATGACTGCAATGCTCAACGGGCAATGTGCACCGGCCCGTTGGGGAGTGATCTCTCGATCATGTTAAAAACCAGCCGAAAATCGTACGATTCGCGGCTGGTTTTCCAACATGCTCGATATACAAAAGACGTGCGACCAAACATTAGAAACGGTCGCGCGCCTTCCATACACTGCACGATTCTCGTACGATCGCGTGATTTCCCGCAAATTCTCGTACGAGAATCGTGCAGTGTATGGGCACCTTAACACTACATCATCATTGCCACTGCACTGAAGGCAATGAGGGTTGATTTAGTAAAAGAGTAGACAATGTTCACTCATCATATAAATATATATACACAGTAATATATATCTATAGATAGATATAGATCTATATAAATCTATATATATATACATCTATAGATCTATATATTATTTTTTTTATTTTGCTTGCTTGCTCTTGATTAAATTTGGGAAGTGAACATAACTTCACCTTCTTCACTAGTCAGCATTGTCTACTCCCTTAGATCAACCCCACTGAACCAGATGAAAGATCCCCTCCTTGCTGTATCTCAGTCCTTGTCAGCAATTACAGTGCAGATGAAGACCGAAAACATTTAATGAATGTATCTTTTGTGCTGTGTGCCTGGAAATGTTGCTTCCCACTATAGCACCTTCATTGTAAATATGCTCTCAGTATAATCTTAGTGGGTTACATTTAAAGCCCTGCTCAATTAATCACTAAGAATGCACAAAAGTACATAAAACAAAAATGCACAAAACAAGTTAAAATGGTATTAATATAGAAAAATAAACAAAACATGCTCCTCAAGGACTACAAATGTCTAAGTTTTTTAAGAGGAAATATTATATAAACGTTTTTTGTTTTTTTAAATCAAAACATTCACAAGGTTTTGATTGCAAAAGATATTTCCTGGATGTCTCTGGCTTCACTACTTCCAAGTAACCTTTTCTAAACAAGCCTATAACAAGGATTAGAGAAAAGCCAGGATCCCTATACGCTTTGGATCAGTGTTTTAAAGTAAAGAAGCCCCCGGAAGAGCATGACAGCCAGGAAACTAGAACTTTCAAGAGATGCAAGCAAGGGCATTAGATATTCTCAAGACAGACTGCCTTTAAGCAGGGTCAGCAACCCATCGATCACAGTCTACCAGTCAGTCACAGGCGACGATGGA